CTGAAACTGCTCACGCTGCTTCACTTGCTCACGCAAGAAGCTAACACTGAAATGCCCTGCTTCACTTTGCTCACGCAGAGAAGCTAACACTGAAACTGCTCACGCTGCTTCACTTTGCTCACGCAGAGAAGCTAACACTGAAACTGCTCACGCTGCTTCACTTTGCTCACGCAGAGAAGCTAACACTGAAACTGCTCACGCTGCTTCACTTTGCTCACGCAGAGAAGCTAACACTGAAACTGCTCACGCTGCTTCACTTTGCTCACGCAGAGAAGCTAACACTGAAACTGCTCACGCTGCTTCACTTTGCTCACGCAGAGAAGCTAACACTGAAACTGCTCACGCTGCTTCACTTTGCTCACGCAGAGAAGCTAACACTGAAACTGCTCACGCTGCTTCACTTTGCTCACGCAGAGAAGCTAACACTGAAACTGCTCACGCTGCTTCACTTTGCTCACGCAGAGAAGCTAACACTGAAACTGCTCACGCTGCTTCACTTTGCTCACGCAGAGAAGCTAACACTGAAACTGCTCACGCTGCTTCACTTTGCTCACGCAGAGAAGCTAACACTGAAACTGCTCACGCTGCTTCACTTTGCTCACGCAGAGAAGCTAACACTGAAACTGCACACGCTGCTTCACTTTGCTCACGCAGAGAAGCTAACACTGAAACTGCACACGCTGCTTCACTTTGCTCACGCAGAGAAGCTAACACTGAAACTGCTCACGCTGCTTCACTTTGCTCACGCAGAGAAGCTAACACTGAAACTGCTCACGCTGCTTCACTTTGCTCACGCAGAGAAGCTAACACTGAAACTGCTCACGCTGCTTCACTTTGCTCACGCAGAGAAGCTAACACTGAAACTGCTCACGCTGCTTCACTTTGCTCACGCAGAGAAGCTAACACTGAAACTGCTCACGCTGCTTCACTTTGCTCACGCAGAGAAGCTAACACTGAAACTGCTCACGCTGCTTCACTTTGCTCACGCAGAGAAGCTAACACTGAAACTGCACACGCTGCTTCACTTTGCTCACGCAGAGAAGCTAACACTGAAACTGCTCACGCTGCTTCACTTTGCTCACGCAGAGAAGCTAACACTGAAACTGCTCACGCTGCTTCACTTTGCTCACGCAGAGAAGCTAACACTGAAACTGCTCACGCTGCTTCACTTTGCTCACGCAGAGAAGCTAACACTGAAACTGCTCACGCTGCTTCACTTTGCTCACGCAGAGAAGCTAACACTGAAACTGCTCACGCTGCTTCACTTTGCTCACGCAGAGAAGCTAACACTGAAACTGCTCACGCTGCTTCACTTTGCTCACGCAGAGAAGCTAACACTGAAACTGCTCACGCTGCTTCACTTTGCTCACGCAGAGAAGCTAACACTGAAACTGCTCACGCTGCTTCACTTTGCTCACGCAGAGAAGCTAACACTGAAACTGCTCACGCTGCTTCACTTTGCTCACGCAGAGAAGCTAACACTGAAACTGCACACGCTGCTTCACTTTGCTCACGCAGAGAAGCTAACACTGAAACTGCTCACGCTGCTTCACTTTGCCCACGCAGAGAAGCTAACACTGAAACTGCTCACGCTGCTTCACTTTGCTCACGCAGAGAAGCTAACACTGAAACTGCACACGCTGCTTCACTTTGCTCACGCAGAGAAGCTAACACTGAAACTGCTCACGCTGCTTCACTTTGCTCACGCAGAGAAGCTAACACTGAAACTGCTCACGCTGCTTCACTTTGCTCACGCAGAGAAGCTAACACTGAAACTGCTCACGCTGCTTCACTTTGCTCACGCAGAGAAGCTAACACTGAAACTGCACACGCTGCTTCACTTTGCTCACGCAGAGAAGCTAACACTGAAACTGCTCACGCTGCTTCACTTTGCTCACGCAGAGAAGCTAACACTGAAACTGCTCACGCTGCTTCACTTTGCTCACGCAGAGAAGCTAACACTGAAACTGCTCACGCTGCTTCACTTTGCTCACGCAGAGAAGCTAACACTGAAACTGCTCACGCTGCTTCACTTTGCTCACGCAGAGAAGCTAAACTGAAACTGCTCACGCTGCTTCACTTTGCTCACGCAGAGAAGCTAACACTGAAACTGCACACGCTGCTTCACTTTGCTCACGCAGAGAAGCTAACACTGAAACTGCTCACGCTGCTTCACTTTGCTCACGCAGAGAAGCTAACACTGAAACTGCACACGCTGCTTCACTTTGCCCACGCAGAGAAGCTAACACTGAAACTGCTCACGCTGCTTCACTTTGCCCACGCAGAGAAGCTAACACTGAAACTGCTCACGCTGCTTCACTTTGCTCACGCAGAGAAGCTAACACTGAAACTGCACACGCTGCTTCACTTTGCTCACGCAGAGAAGCTAACACTGAAACTGCTCACGCTGCTTCACTTTGCTCACGCAGAGAAGCTAACACTGAAACTGCTCACGCTGCTTCACTTTGCTCACGCAGAGAAGCTAACACTGAAACTGCTCACGCTGCTTCACTTTGCTCACGCAGAGAAGCTAACACTGAAACTGCACACGCTGCTTCACTTTGCTCACGCAGAGAAGCTAACACTGAAACTGCTCACGCTGCTTCACTTTGCTCACGCAGAGAAGCTAACACTGAAACTGCTCACGCTGCTTCACTTTGCTCACGCAGAGAAGCTAACACTGAAACTGCTCACGCTGCTTCACTTTGCTCACGCAGAGAAGCTAACACTGAAACTGCTCACGCTGCTTCACTTTGCTCACGCAGAGAAGCTAACACTGAAACTGCTCACGCTGCTTCACTTTGCTCACGCAGAGAAGCTAACACTGAAACTGCTCACGCTGCTTCACTTTGCTCACGCAGAGAAGCTAACACTGAAACTGCTCACGCTGCTTCACTTTGCTCACGCAGAGAAGCTAACACTGAAACTGCTCACGCTGCTTCACTTTGCTCACGCAGAGAAGCTAACACTGAAACTGCTCACGCTGCTTCACTTTGCTCACGCAGAGAAGCTAACACTGAAACTGCTCACGCTGCTTCACTTTGCTCACGCAGAGAAGCTAACACTGAAACTGCTCACGCTGCTTCACTTTGCTCACGCAGAGAAGCTAACACTGAAACTGCTCACGCTGCTTCACTTTGCTCACGCAGAGAAGCTAACACTGAAACTGCTCACGCTGCTTCACTTTGCTCACGCAGAGAAGCTAACACTGAAACTGCTCACGCTGCTTCACTTTGCTCACGCAGAGAAGCTAACACTGAAACTGCTCACGCTGCTTCACTTTGCTCACGCAGAGAAGCTAACACTGAAACTGCTCACGCTGCTTCACTTTGCTCACGCAGAGAAGCTAACACTGAAACTGCTCACGCTGCTTCACTTTGCTCACGCAGAGAAGCTAACACTGAAACTGCTCACGCTGCTTCACTTTGCTCACGCAGAGAAGCTAACACTGAAACTGCTCACGCTGCTTCACTTTGCTCACGCGGTTTAGCTCCAGGATTAATATAATCAACGCTACAAACTGAGCATCTCTTTCTTTAACTCAAACACAAATGTTTATCGAACTAAATTATCAGCTATTTTTGGAAAGCAGCATAAACGACCAACACAAAGTAGCATATTAGCTTCTCTGTGTTCTTGGGTTCATACTTTAATGAATACATTAACCGTCTCCACGCAGACGTTGTGGATTTGCAACAATTTGATTTCTCATTACTTACAAACTGAAACAAGGAAAGATTAAATAAAGGTACAGTAGATGCCCTTTGGGTTTTCCCCGGGACAGCTCTGTTTACCACTGCAGCCAATGTTGCAAATCTGCAACATCCCACAATGCATTGCCTGTGAAGGTCTCGCTCTCTCAAAAAAAGGTCAGGATTCTATATCAGAACCTCGGTCGCTCAAATTATAAATTGGGCCTGAGAAGGAAAAAACAAAATGTCATACTTTTGTCATTGAACTTCATGTTGCATATTTTTAACCATGCTTCTGTGTGGTAAACATTAACAGTAGAGAAAGGAAAGGTTTTGGTTCACGGAACTAAAAATAGAAAAACCAAGAATTAAGCATTTCTATAAATCTTTCTATGAACAAAAAGAGTCCAGCTGTGTCGTAGACTGTGTTTAATAAAGTTTACTTGTAATCATTGCTGATTTCATTCAGAGTTTAGTGTTTATGTATTTTTTTTTTTATGTTGTGGTTTTAATAAAATATAAGATCAAATTTACTTTAAAATGATGTATAACACATTTGCACAGATTCTCAGTGGGGGGCGCACAGATGTTAAGAGTCTAATGTCCACCAGGGGGCGACACTGTCACACATTAACACAGAACACGACATACTCTGAAAAATCGTCTTAAACCAACTGAACAAAAGAACAAATACATTTCCCTCCAAACTGTTCCTCGCTGCTACATGTGGCTCAGGAGAAGAAGGTTCTAGAGCTCACAGCGGGACCATAACGAGCCGTGGAGCTGTGATCAGGGGAATGAAGCTCTCACCATCAGAGTTTGGGCTGCTCTTTATTTAATAAAGTTGTCCTTGATTTTCTCTCTGGTCTCTCTCTGGTCTTTCTCTCTGGTCTTTCCCTCTGGTCTCTCTTCTGTCTCTCTCTGGTCTCTCTCTGGTCTTTCTCTCTGGTCTCTCTCTCTCTGGTCTCTCTCCGGTCTCTCGCTGGTCTCTCTCTCTGGTCTCTCTCCGGTCTCTCTCCGGTCTCTCTCTGGTCTCTCTCCGGTCTCTCTCCGGTCTCTCTCTCTGGTCTCTCTCTGGTCTCTCTCCGGTCTCCCTCCGGTCTCTCTCCGGTCTCTCTCCGGTCTCTCTCCGGTCTCTCTCTGGTCTCTCTCTGGTCTCATTTCCATAGCTGTGTCTTGTTTCTGTAATGTGATCAATGCAAAACCTGTGTCTTCTTTTGTGTCCGACATAAACTTAGATTTGACTGTGTTTGAATGAGACGTGAGGATTAGACCTGGACTGATCCTGGTCCAGGTTCATTCAGAGACATGAATCCGACTGCTCTGTGGCTGCTGCTGGTCCCAGGTGAGAGACCACCCTAACCCTGAGGCTGTAGACCCAGGACTGAGGCTGTAGACCCAGGACTGAGGCTGTAAACCCAGGACTGAGGCTGTAGACCCAGGACTGAGGCTGTAGACCCAGGACTGAGGCTGTAGACCCAGGACTGAGGCTGTAAACCCAGGACTGAGGCTGTAGACCCAGGACTGAGGCTGTAGACCCAGGACTGAGGCTGTAAACCCAGGACTGAGGCTGTAGATCCAGGACTGAGGCTGTAGACCCAGGACTGAGGCTGTAGATCCAGGACTGAGGCTGTAGATCCAAACATGTCTCCTGGTCTCGTTGCAGGTCTCTCCGGCCTGGGTCTCTCGTTCCCTCAGAAGACCTTCCACCTGGTTCAGGAGGACCAGGACTGGTCGGGGGCTCAGTCTCACTGCCAGACTCACTTCGTGGACCTGGCCTCGGTGGCGGACCCCAAAGACCTGAGCGCCATGACCGGCCTGGTGCAGGACTCGGGCGTGTCTCTGGTCCGGGTGGGTCTGAGGAGGCAGTGGCAGTGGGTCCAGAGGGAGACCCAGGACCAGAGGGAGACCGAGATCGGGTTCAGGGCCTTCGCAGATGGAGAACCCAGAGCAGAGCAGAAGTGTGGGATGATCCAGGCCAACGGGGAGTGGAGGACGGAGGAGTGCGGGGAACCCAGGCCTTTCATCTGCTACGACGGTGACACACACACATCCATTTCAACATAATAGCTTGCACAGTGCTCCTTGAGATGTTTAAAGCTTGGGAAATCTTTTTGTATCCAAATCCGGCTTTAAACTTGTCCACAACAGTATCTCGGACCTGCCTGGTGTGTTCCTTTGTCTTCATGGTTCTCTCTGTGCTTTAAACAGAACCCTGAGACTATCAAAGAGCAGGTGCATTTATACGGAGACTTGATTACACACAGGTGCATTCTATTTATCATCATCAGTCATTTAGGACAACATTGGATCATTCAAAGATCCTCACTGAACTTCTGGACTGAGTTTGCTGCACTGAAAGTAAAGGGGCCGAATAATATGGCACGCCCCACTTTTCAGTTTTTTATTTGTTAAAAAAGTTTAAATCATCCAATAAATTTCGTTCCACTTCACGATTGTGTCCCACTTGTTGTTGATTCATGACAAAAAATTAAAATTTGATATCTTTATGTTTGAAGACTGAAATGTGGCGAAAAGTTGAAAGGTTCAAGGGGGCCGAATACTTTCGCAAGGCACTGTAGGCTCTGGTTTTAGGAGTTTCAGCTAAAAAATAATCCTTGCCGATGTGTGTGGGTGTGTTGTACTTGTGTCTTCTGTTTGTGTGTGTGTATGTGTGTGGGTGTGTGTATGTGAATGTGCGTGTGTGTATGTGTGTGTGTATGTGAATGTGCGTGTGTGTATGTGTGTGTGTATGTGAATGTGTGGTGTGTGTGTGTGTGTGTGTGTGTGTGTCTGTCTCTGTGTGCGTGTGTGTCTGTGTGTGCGTGTGTGTCTGTGTGTGTTGTTAGTTTTAATTTGCATAACATTTGAAATAATCTTCTTACTTTAAGTGTCTGTAAAGAACCGCCCTCTCCACTTTTGACGAGCATGTAAATCCAGAATGATTGACAATTGAGAGGACCAATAGCCTTGATGATCCACCCAGAAGTAGATAATATACATATATAACCCAGGATTACTGTCCCTGTCCCTGTGGTCCCAGCGCCCCCAGCTCCAGAGACTGTGTGTTGTGTTCTTTGGGAGTGAACAGAGTTGTGGTGCTGCGAGGAGCACAGCAGCAGGAAGTGTGTTTTTATTGTGGAAGTGCAGATTTTTATTTTCCTCATGGAACCTTTTGGACAAAGAGTATGACGTATTAGGCCGCCTCTTGACGGCGCCGCACGGTGGCCGACACAGAACACAAAGGTCAAATGCACTAATAGCGGCTCCCAACGACCCTGGCCTTATCCATCCATACTCTCCTGTCAATCATCATGTCCTGCAGGTAACGTCTGGGTCTGGTCCCTGTGTCTGCGAATACAATCGGTTTAATTCAATCCAACCAATCAGAGAGCGCGGGAGGCGGGTGTTGTAGTTAGTTGTGGGTGATGTCAAGAGTTTGCGCTGAACGGGAAGGTCGTAGTTTGGCAAATAATGTGATAGTAAAGTATTCTGGTCTAGTTCTATCAAGAAACTGAAGCAGGAGCAAGAGGAATGTTTAGCAAAAGTAATCGCTGCAAAGATCGTGGCGCTACTCCCCACGGGCTCCGTTAGCGGCAAAGGAGATGGCTAAAGCTAGGCTAAATGCTAAATGCAACGACTCACTCGGGCTCATTACATACGTCACGGTAAACTCAGATCCAATCGTTTCAATCTGCAAATCCAGACCTTAGTACCAAATGTAATCTGTACTGTGGTGTGGTAAGACCAGGCTACCATTGTTGTGATTCAGGGCGATACAAAAATACATTGAAGTGACTAATATTTCTTCTTTAATGAGTGTGTTTTCTGACAGAGAACGTTGCTGACAGCTTTGTGAGGCCGGATGTAGTTCAAAACTGGGGAAGTGCCAGAAATCACTGCAGAACCAAACACTTGGACCTGGCCTCGGTCCACTCTGCAGACCAGAACGCTCAGCTGGTGCAGCTCCTGAACGGGACCAAGGACGGGGCCTGGATCGGGCTCACGCACAGGGTCTGGTCCTGGTCCGACGGCTCGCACCCCGGGTTCCTGCCCTGGACCGGAGACACCCCCAGGGGAGAGGGGGGCTGTGCTGCACTGGACCTGAGCGCGGAGCCGGTGGGACTGGTGCCCTGTAACTGCAGCGTCCCTCTGCCATTCTACTGCTACAGCTGTGAGGAGAACTCAGGCTCACTCTGGTTCTCTCTAATCATTCTGGTCATTATAGTCTCTCTCTCTCTCTCTCTGGTCTCTTTATGGTCTCTCTGGTCTCTCTCTGGTCTCTGTCTAGTCTCTCTCTCTGGTTTCTCTTAGGTCTCTCTCTTGTCTCTGTCTCCCTAGTCTCCCTCTAGTCTCTTTTGTCCCTCTAGTCTCTCTTTCTCTGGTCTCTCTCTGCTCTCTCTCTGGTCTCTCTCTGACTCTCTCTGGTCTCTCTCTGGTCTCTCTCTGGTCTCTCTCTGACTCTCTCTGGTCTCTCTCTGGTCTCTCTCTGACTCTCTCTAGTCTCTCTCTGGTCTCTCTCTGGTCTCTCTCTGGTCTCTCTCTGGTCTCTCTCTGACTCTCTCTGGTCTCTCTCTGGTCTCTCTCTGGTCTCTCTCTGGTCTCTCTCTGGTCTCTCTCTGACTCTCTCTGGTCTCTCTCTGACTCTCTCTGGTCTCTCTCTGGTCTCTCTCTGACTCTCTCTGGTCTCTCTCTGACTCTCTATGGTCTCTCTCTGGTCTCTCTCTGACTCTCTCTGGTCTCTCTCTCTGGTCTCTCTCTGACTCTCTCTGGTCTCACTCTGGTCTCTCTCTGACTCTCTCTGGTCTCTCTCTGGTCTCTCTCTGGTCTCTCTCTGACACTCTCTGGTCTCTCTCTGACTTTCTCTGGTCTCTCTCTGACTCTCTCTGGTCTCTCTCTGGACTCTCTCTGACTCTCTCTGGTCTCTCTCTGACTCTCTATGGTCTCTCTCTGGTCTCTCTCTGGTCTCTCTCTGGTCTCTCTCTCTGGTCTCTCTCTCTGACTCTCTCTGGTCTCTCTCTGACTCTCTCTGGTCTCTCTCTGGTCTCCCTCTCTGGTCTCTCTCTGGTCTCTCTCTGGTCTCTCTCTGACTCTCTCTGGTCTCTCTCTGGTCTCTCTCTGGTCTCTCTCTGACTCTCTCTGGTCTCTCTCTGACTCTCTATGGTCTCTCTCTGGTCTCTCTCTCTGGTCTCTCTCTCTGACTCTCTCTGACTCTCTCTGGTCTCTCTCTGGTCTCTCTCTCTGGTCTCTCTCTGGTCTCTCTCTGGTCTCTCTCTGGTCTCTCTCTGACTCTCTCTGGTCTCTCTCTGACTCTCTCTGGTCTCTCTCTGACTCTCTCTGGTCTCTCTCTGGTCTCTCTCTGGTCTCTCTCTGACTCTCTCTGGTCTCTCTCTGGTCTCTCTCTGGTCTCTCTCTGACTCTCTCTGGTCTCTCTCTGACTCTCTCTGGTCTCTCTCTGACTCTCTCTGACTCTCTCTGGTCTCTCTCTGACTCTCTCTGGTCTCTCTCTGGTCTCTCTCTGGTCTCTCTCTGACTTTCTCTGGTCTCTCTCTGACTCTCTCTGGTCTCTCTCTGGTCTCTCTCTGGTCTCTCTCTGGTCTCTCTCTGACTCTCTCTGGTCTCTCTCTGACTCTCTCTGGTCTCTCTCTGGTCTCTCTCTGGTCGCTCTCTGGTCTCTCTCTGACTTTCTCTGGTCTCTCTCTGACTTTCTCTGGTCTCTCTCTGGTCTCTCTCTGGTCTCTCTCTGGTCTCTCTCTGGTCTCTCTTTGGTCTCTCTCTGGTCTCTCTCTGGTCTCTCTCTGGTCTCTCTCTGGTCTCTCTCTGACTTTCTCTGGTCTCTCTCTGACTTTCTCGTGGTCTCTCTCTGGTCTCTCTCTGGTCTCTCTCTGACTCTCTCTGGTCTCTCTCTGGTCTCTCTCTGGTCTCTCTCTGACTCTCTCTGGTCTCTCTCTGGTCTCTCTCTGGTCTCTCTCTGGTCTCTCTCTGGTCTCTCTCTGGTCTCTCTCTGGTCTCTCTCTGACTCTCTCTGGTCTCTCTCTGACTCTCTCTGGTCTCTCTCTGGTCTCTCTCTGGTCTCTCTCTGGTCTCTCTCCGGTCTCTCTCTGGTCTCTCTCTGGTCTCTCTCTGGTCTCTCTCTGGTCTCTCTCTGGTCTCTCTCTGGTCTCTCTCTGGTCTCTCTCTGGTCTCTCTCTGGTCTCTCTCTGGTCTCTCTCTGACTCTCTCTGGTCTCTCTCTGGTCTCTCTCTGGTCTCTCTCTGGTCTCTCTCCGGTCTCTCTCTGGTCTCTCTCTGGTCTCTCTCTGGTCTCTCTCTGGTCTCTCTCTCTGGCCTCTCTCTGGTCTCTCTCTGACTCTCTCTGGTCTCTCTCTGGTCTCTCTCTGGTCTCTCTCTGGTCTCTCTCCGGTCTCTCTCTGGTCTCTCTCTGGTCTCTCTCTGGTCTCTCTCTGGTCTCTCTCTGGTCTCTCTCTGGTCTCTCTCTGGTCTCTCTCTGGTCTCTCTCTGACTCTCTCTGGTCTCTCTCTGACTCTCTCTGGTCTCTCTCTGGTCTCTCTCTGGTCTCTCTCTGGTCTCTCTCTGGTCTCTCTCTGGTCTCTCTCCGGTCTCTCTCTGGTCTCTCTCTGGTCTCTCTCTGACTCTCTCTGGTCTCTCTTGTTCCAGTCCCAGTGAAGCAGTACACGGTGCAGATCACCATGTCGGCTGCAGAGGGCGCTGTTGCTCTTGCTGCTGACGCCTTCACCAAACTGGTGAGTGCCTCTGCCGTTTGCATGTTCTCCCTGTGCCCAAGCATGAATCCAGTCCATGATCCAGATCCATGTAGTAAAGAATAAAGCTGAAGTACGTAACTTTTAGTCCTGGATCTAAAACAGTTTTTTACTCTTTCACATGTGTTTCTGTCTCTGTCTCGTTTTTAGATCAGATTTGTCAGACAGAAACAAAGACACAGAGAGGACCCCCCTCTCTCGGCCAATCAGCTCTCAGCCCATAGGGTCCAATAGTGACTCACAGGGATGTTTCTCTTAGACTCAGACGTACACAGCAGTGATTTCTGACACGTGTAAAGACATGACAGTAGTTCTGACACTGGGCTCTCCTCTCCGCAGATATGACCTGTGCCTAATCTAGGTCTTTAATCTGTGGAACGTTCACAACCTTCAACATTAACATCTTAAATAATCACATTAAAAAGAGTTAAAATCTTTCAGATGTTGCAGAAACAGAACTGTTTTAACCTGGATTTGAGCATTGTCAGAGAAGAAGCCTGTCCCACGTTCTCTGGGAGATTGTTCCAGATTTTAGCATGAATCTTAAACTTTGCCTCCTCCTGGGTAGTCTTGACTCTGGAACCAGCAGGAGGCCAGTCCCTGTGCTCCTCTGAGTCCCAGCAGGAGGCCAGTCCCTGTGCCCCTCAGAGTCCCAGCAGGAGGCCAGTCCCTGTGCCCCTCAGAGTCCCAGCAGGAGGCCAGTCCCTGTGCTCCTCTGAGTCCCAGCAGGAGGCCAGTCCCTGTGCTCCTCTGAGTCCCAGCAGGAGGCCAGTCCCTGTGCTCCTTAGAGTCCCAGCAGGAGGCCAGTCCCTGTGCTCCTTAGAGTCCCAGCAGGAGGCCCGTCCCTGTGCTCCTCAGAGTCCCAGCAGGAGGCCCGTCCCTGTGCTCCTCAGAGTCCCAGCAGGAGGCCCGTCCCTGTGCTCCTCAGAGTCCCAGCAGGAGGCCCGTCCCTGTGCTCCTCAGAGTCCCAGCAGGAGGCCCGTCCCTGTGCTCCTCAGAGTCCCAGCAGTCCCTGTGCTACATGGTAACTCTCTGTGGTGTATCACAGGTACAGAGCAGACTCTCGGCGCTGGGCGTGACCAAAGACCTGCGTCTGAGTTGGAGGAAGCGTCCACAGAAAGTCCTTCCTGGTCCCAAACCATAGGAGCCTCGGTATCAGTCCAAGACCAGCTACGCCTGAACCAAGTCTGTCTCTGTCACACTGTGCACGCTGCAAAACATGAACCATGTGACGTGACGAAACATGAACCATGTGACGTGACGAAACATGAACCATGTGACGTGACGAAACATGAACCATGTGACGTGACAAAACATGAACCATGTGACGTGACGAAACATGAACCATGTGACGTGACGAAACATGAACCATGTGACGTGTTGAAACATGAACCATGTGACGTGTTGAAACATGAACCATGTGACGTGACGGCTCATTATAGTACGACAAATGAAAACTGTTTTTATCGTCTGTAATTGTTTGTAACTGTAACTTTTGTCCAGGACTCCCTCAAAAAAAAACATTCTAATCTCAATGGGACTTTCCTGGTTAAATAAAAGTTAAATAAAAATAAATAAATAACGTTGTGACTGTGTTAAAACAAGATTCTCCGATGGGTCATTTAGATTCCAAAAACTGTTCAAGGGACACATTTCTGGATCTTTTCAAAACTATATCTTTGTCCCATCTTTGTCAGAATCTGCTCAAAATAAGACACATTTTACCAAATTTTGATAATTTTTTAAACTTATTTTTCATCACGTTTTGCAGCGTCATGTGTGCTTTTTTGGTGCAAGTTTGAAATAAGTAGTTATACTCTACTAAGTCCAACTAAAACTAGATTTAATCACAATAATCTGCTCAATTGTCTTTTTCTCTATCTGCCATATTTTATACTAGCTTCTTTATTATGCTAAAGTTAGAGCTTTTATGCTAGCTTCTTTGTTATGCTAAAGTTAGAGCTTTTATGCTAGCTTCTTTGTTATGCTAAAGTTAGAGCTTTTATGCTAGCTTCTTTGTTATGCTAAAGCTATAGATTTTATACTAGCTTCTTTATTATGCTAAAGCTAGATTTAATACTAGCTTCTTTATTATGCTAAAGCTATAGATTTTATACTAGCTTCTTTATCATGCTAAAGTTAGAGCTTTTATGCTAGCTTCTTTATTATGCTAAAGTTAGAGCTTTTATGCTAGCTTCTTTGTTATGCTAAAGTTAGAGCTTTTATGCTAGCTTCTTTGTTATGCTAAAGTTAGAGATTTTATACTAGCTTCTTTGTTATGCTAAAGTTAGAGCTTTTATGCTAGCTTCTTTGTTATGCTAAAGTTAGAGATTTTATGATAGCTTCTTTGTTATGCTAAAGTTAGAGATTTTATGATAGCTTCTTTGTTATGCTAAAGTTAGAGATTTTATGCTAGCTTCTTTGTTATGCTAAAGTTAGAGCTTTTATGCTAGCTTCTTTGTTATGCTAAAGTTAGAGATTTTATGCTAGCTTCTTTGTTATGCTAAAGTTAGAGCTTTTATGCTAGCTTCTTTGTTATGCTAAAGTTAGAGCTTTTATACTAGCTTCTTTGTTATGCTAAAGTTAGAGCTTTTATGCTAGCTTCTTTGTTATGCTAAAGTTAGAGCTTTTATGCTAGCTTCTTTGTTATGCTAAAGTTAGAGCTTTTATACTAGCTTCTTTGTTATGCTAAAGTTAGAGCTTTTATGCTAGCTTCTTTGTTATGCTAAAGTTAGAGATTTTATACTAGCTTCTTTGTTATGCTAAAGTTAGAGCTTTTATACTAGCTTCTTTGTTATGCTAAAGTTAGAGCTTTTATGCTAGCTTCTTTGTTATGCTAAAGTTAGAGCTTTTATACTAGCTTCTTTGTTATGCTAAAGTTAGAGCTTTTATGCTAGCTTCTTTGTTATGCTAAAGTTAGAGATTTTATGATAGCTTCTTTGTTATGCTAAAGTTAGAGATTTTATGATAGCTTCTTTGTTATGCTAAAGTTAGAGATTTCATGCTAGCTTCATCGTACACTACTGTCCTGTATGTGCGCTGCAACATTGAAATTTCCCCACTGTGGGACAAATAAAGGATTTCTTAACGTATCTGTACCTGTGTCCCCTGTACCTGTGTCCCCTGTACCTGTGTCCCCTGTACCTGTGTCCCCTGTACCTGTGTCCCCTGTACCTGTGTCCTCTGTACCTGTGTCCCCTGTACCTGTGTCCTCTGTACCTGTGTCCCCTGTACCTGTGTCCCCTGTACCTGTGTCCTCTGTACCTGTGTCCCCTGTACCTGTGTCCTCTGTACCTGTGTCCCCTGTACCTGTGTCCTCTGTACCTGTGTCCCCTGTACCTGTGTCCTCTGTACCTGTGTCCCCTGTACCTGTGTCCCTGTACCTGTGTCCCTGTACCTGTGTCCCCTGTACCTGTGTCCCCTGTACCTGTGTCCCTGTACCTGTGTCCCTGTACCTGTGTCCCTGTACTGTACCTGTGTCCCTGTACCTGTGTCCCCTGTACCTGTGTCCCCTGTACCTGTGTCCCCTGTACCTGTGTCCCCTGTACCTGTGTCCCTGTACCTGTGTCCCCTGTACCTGTGTCCCCTGTACCTGTGTCCCTGTACCTGTGTCCCTGTACTGTGTCCCTGTACCTGTGTCCCCTGTACCTGTGTCCCCTGTACCTGTGCCCTTCGTGTCCCCTGTACCTGTGTCCCCTGTACCTGTGTCCCCTGTACCTGTGTCCCCTGTACCTGTGTCCCCTGTACCTGTGTCCCTGTACCTGTGTCCCCTGTACCTGTGTCCCCTGTACCTGTGTCCCCTGTACCTGTGTCCTTCTGTACCTGTGTCCCCTGTACCTGTGTCCCCTGTACCTGTGTCCCCTGTACCTGTGTCCCCTGTACCTGTGTCCCCTGTACCTGTGTCCCCTGTACCTGTGTCCCCTGTACCTGTGTCCCCTGTACCTGTGTCCTCTGTACCTGTGTCCCCTGTACCTGTGTCCCCTGTACCTGTGTCCCCTGTACCTGTGTCCCCTGTACCTGTGTCCCCTGTACCTGTGTCCCCTGTACCTGTGTCCCCTGTACCTGTGTCCCTGTACCTGTGTCCCCTGTACCTGTGTCCCTGTACCTGTGTCCCTGTACCTGTGTCCCTGTACCTGTGTCCCTGTACCTGTGTCCCGTACCTGTGTCCCTGTACTGTGTCCCCTGTACTGTGTCCCTGTACCTGTGTCCCTGTACCTGTGTCCCTGTACCTGTGTCCCCTGTACCTGTGTCCCTGTACCTGTGTCCCTGTACCTGTGTCCCTGTACCTGTGTCCCCTGTACCTGTGTCCCCTGTACCTGTGTCCCCTGTACCTGTGTCCCTGTACCTGTGTCCCTGTACCTGTGTCCCTGTACCTGTGTCCCCTGTACCTGTGTCCCCTGTACCTGTGTCCCCTGTACCTGTGTCCCCTGTACCTGTGTCCCTGTACCTGTGTCCCCTGTACCTGTGCCCTCTGTACCTGTGTCCCCTGTACCTGTGTCCCCTGTACCTGTGTCCCCTGTACCTGTGTCCCCTGTACCTGTGTCCCCTGTACCTGTGTCCCCTGTACCTGTGTCCCCTGTACCTGTGTCCCCTGTACCTGTGTCCTCTGTACCTGTGTCCCCTGTACCTGTGTCCCCTGTACCTGTGTCCCCTGTACCTGTGTCCCCTGTACCTGTGTCCCCTGTACCTGTGTCCCCTGTACCTGTGTCCCCTGTACCTGTGTCCTCTGTACCTGTGTCCCCTGTACCTGTGTCCCTGTACCTGTGTCCCCTGTACCTGTGTCCCCTGTACCTGTGTCCCCTGTACCTGTGTCCCCTGTACCTGTGTCCCCTGTACCTGTGTCCCCCTGTACCTGTGTCCCCTGTACCTGTGTCCCCTGTACCTGTGTCCTCTGTACCTGTGTCCCCTGTACCTGTGTCCCCTGTACCTGTGTCCCCTGTACCTGTGTCCCCTGTACCTGTGTCCCCTGTACCTGTGTCCCCTGTACCTGTGTCCTCTGTACCTGTGTCCCCTGTACCTGTGTCCTCTGTACCTGTGTCCCCTGTACCTGTGTCCCCTGTACCTGTGTCCCCTGTACCTGTGTCCCCTGTACCTGTGTCCCCTGTACCTGTGTCCCCTGTACCTGTGTCCCCTGTACCTGTGTCCCCTGTACCTGTGTCCTCTGTACCTGTGTCCTCTGTACCTGTGTCCCCTGTACCTGTGTCCCCTGTACCTGTGTCCCCTGTACCTGTGTCCTCTGTACCTATGTCCCCTGTACCTGTGTCCCCTGTACCTGTGTCCACTGTACCTGTGTCCACTGTACCTGTGTCCCCTGTACCTGTGTCCCCTGTACCTGTGTCCCCTGTACCTGTGTCCCCTGTACCTGTGTCCCCTGTACCTGTGTCCTCTGTACCTGTGTCCCCTGTACCTGTGTCCCCTGTACCTGTGTCCCCTGTACCTGTGTCCTCTGTACCTGTGTCCCCTGTACCTGTGTCCCCTGTACCTGTGTCCTCTGTACCTGTGTCCCCTGTACCTGTGTCCTCTGTACCTGTGTCCCCTGTACCTGTGTCCCCTGTACCTGTGTCCCCTGTACCTGTGTCCCCTGTACCTGTGTCCCCTGTACCTGTGTCCTCTGTACCTGTGTCCCCTGTACCTGTGTCCCCTGTACCTGTGTCCCCTGTACCTGTGTCCCCTGTACCTGTGTCCCCTGTACCTGTGTCCTCTGTACCTGTGTCCCCTGTACCTGTGTCCCCTGTACCTGTGTCCCCTGTACCTGTGTCCTCTGTACCTGTGTCCCCTGTACCTGTGTCCCCTGTACCTGTGTCCTCTGTACCTGTGTCCCCTGTACCTGTGTCCCCTGTACCTGTGTCCCCTGTACCTGTGTCCCCTGTACCTGTGTCCCCGTACCTGTGTCCTCTGTACCTGTGTCCCCTGTACCTGTGTCCCCTGTACCTGTGTCCCCTGTACCTGTGTCCCCTGTACCTGTGTCCTCTGTACCTGTGTCCCCTGTACCTGTGTCCTGTTGTATATTTTAATATTTGACCATTTGAACATCATAGCCAGAAAGACCTCTGTGCACTCAGGAAAAACCCCAAGGACACAGGATAATCAGACATGAGTCATAAAGATAAAATGCTGTTTAAACAGGGCGAATTATTAACTTTA